AGGGGTGAGACAATGCAGGAGATAAATAATGCCTAGCTAGTTCTGAAAACCAAAGGGAACCATATTACTCCTACAACCTACTGACAAATCATACGTAGCAGATCAAGAAATACATGTCTAGGTAAGGTTTATCTGAGAACAATTGGTCTTTGCCCAAGATTTATCTACATGACACACAGTAATTAAAAGTACCAGACTGGTGGGACTAACCTTCTTGGATGTTTAACAGACATACTTTGAGGCCTATAATAATTTGGTCAGAGGGCCATAAAGGACAGTTTTTGCTCCTAGCCCTCCTAGGTCAACTAGTTCCAGGGAACTATGAGCATCTCTCAAAATGTCCTGTAATTGTGGTGGGTCACCTGTCCTCTTGATCAAGGAGGCCGAGGAGACCCCACCAGATGGACTTAAACTAGTGTCACAGTCTACAAAGGGTCAACTCAGAGGCATCGTTTCCTCCATGCTTCCAAGTGAAGCCAAGCATGGTTGAGCAGGACCTTTGACCTACCTTCACATAGGCAGGACTGGTAAAAGAAAGGAGCCAGGGGCTCCTCCCAAACCCATGTGACCCCTGAGGAACAGATCATCAAATGGCCTTAAGAGTAAAAATAAATTGGTTTGTGTCGGCCAACTGTATGGCCTTTAACACTGAAAAGGAAAGTATAACCGAAGATTAAAGGGGCCAATATAATTTTTTAAGAGTCCATATGCATAGCTAAAGGCTACATAACAAGCAACCATGCCAGATAGGAGATACCTTCTTTTGAGTTTTTGGCCAGGGTGGCCCAAGGGCCCCCCAGATAGTAACCCAGCATACTACTGGGAAAATGAACAGCAGACCCCAATCTTACTTAAAGGAATATTGACAATTGATTGCTGCTGTATGAGGAACAGCTGACCCTCATAAAACAAAGTCCTTTAGATATGCTGACTAGATCCACCAGAATGGCAAGTAGTGGGGAATCGCTGGGGTTGCTGACAACACAGCAGACAATAACAGGGATAACAGACTATAAGGGCTCTAGTGGGGGGAGGGAGGCTATGGGAGGGTGCCATCTGGGAAGTGGGTATATAGTTGTATAAGATGGTTTGGGATGTTCTGTGTGACATATATACACACACAAAAACAAACAACTAATTAAAAAACGTATTATATTTGATGAGGAAGCATGGAAATTTATGTATTGCTAATAAGTAGAGGTGATGAACTTACCATTGAAATCTACCCGATGAGTTTATAGACATACACAAGTGGCAGGGATCCAAGTGCAACCAATTATGACTAGTAATAATCAGATATATACACATTAGACATGCAAGCGCCAACATCTCAGTGTTAGTAGCAAAAACAATGAGTCTTTCTGCAAGGAACAATATGTTCTAAATGAAATGGAGATCTTTTTTTAAAGGTTAAAAACTCATTCAATTTAATGTCTTACAGGGCTTATACTGACGTTAATATTGTATAACTATTAATTCAACTGTAAATCTATGAACTTGCACCCACTTGTGAATGAGATGTACTCTTGCTCTGAAGTGTGTTACTGAATATGTTAAAGCTGTAGTGAAATGCTTCTTCTGATCATGTAGTTATTAAAAATTAAAATAAAAAGATTTAAAAAATAATAAAAATTCTTCAAAGCATAAAAATTTGATCCTTAATATTTAGTAGATGTGAAAATACATTACCATTGAAATCTACCTGATGACCTTATATCCATGCTTAGATACCAAGGAGCTCAGAAAGTAACAGATTCTCAGTAGTAATAATCAGATATATAGAGATTAGAAATGCATGTGGAAACATCTTAATGTCAGTTGCATTAAAAATGAATTTTTCTGTATGAAACTATGTATTTTAATAATGAAATGGAGATTTTTTAATAGTTAAAATCTCATTTAATTTTATGTTTTATAGGGTTTATACTGAGTACAATATTTTATAACTGATAATTCAACTGCAAACCTAAAAATTTACAGCCAGTTTTGAAAGAGATGTGTCTTAGCTCAGGAAATTGTTATTGAATATGTTAATGCTATTGTAATGAAATGCTTCTTCTAAGTTTGTGGTTATTATATAAATAATTGAAAAAAAAGAAAAAATACCAAAAATTCCGTAAAGCATTCTAAATGTATATGAATACACTAAATTACATGTGAAAATAGGCTGCATCCTTTCAAGTTCTCTTGTGAGTATAATAAAAATTTTCACTGTATTAAAAATATACAAAGATGTTCTAGATATGAAATACACAAAAATTCAATAAAAATATACAAAATAATAGAAATGTCACTCTGACATATATCTGAAGTAGGTGGTGGGGTAGGGAGGATCTGGTGGATGCCAGCAGTAATACAGTTGAATGGTCGGAAGGCCTTGCTGATGAAGTTGTTAAAAGCCCTTTGAAAGTATAAAAAATAAAAGAAACTAAGGAATCAAGTTTTATATTAATTTTTACTGTTTTGAATTTTTCTTGCATTTTGCCTGAAATAGGCCTATCTTGAATTCTTTTTTCCTCATCTTTGAGATACCTGCTTGGTAACAGGATCAGTAAATGTCTGGTGTACTACATACAGCAATTATAAACCTCAAGTTTTGGGGAAAAGGTAACCATCTTAATGAGCATAAAACTTACAATTATCTAAGTATATATATATATGTAAATATATGTTTGTTCATTATGAAGGCCTTTACCTTTTCTAAAAGTTCTGCACTTAATTTATAAAGAACTTAATAAATATTTTTGTTATCTATAAAAGAAGCCCTTTGTGGTTACGGTGTACTGTGGCCATTCTTTCCTTGTAGATCATGAGTATCCAGTCGCTTATCCCTGTCATGGAGTAAAATAGAACTGTACCTGGATTCAAGGAGAAATAAATGTACATAACTAACAGACCAGTTTGTTCTGTGCCACCTCCATTGTTCTAATAATATACTTCATTCGCAGTGCTTTTGAATAATTGCAAAATAGCAGTCATCTTATTTTCTCCTCAGATAATTGGATACATTCATTTTTATCATTGGTTGCTCAGCTTCATCCTCAGAGGATCTTAAATCATAAGCTAAATATTCAGACTAACTGCTTTTTCATTAAGCACTGTTTTACAGGTGTTGTATTTATTTAGTATTGTACTTAGGGTACTTGATGTACCAAACCCTTCCTCCCCCATAGTGTGTTGGAAATTAAACTCAAAGCCTCATTCATGCCAAGCATGTGTGCTAACCCTGAGTACTCAGAAAATACACCACCATTTTGAAAATTTTAAAATGTATTTATATATCTGTGTATGTTCTTGTATGAGTTGATGTGTAGTGTGGTGTGGATGTGCCCCAGGAAGGATGTGCCCCAGAAGGCACTGGATCCCCTGGAACTGGGGTTACAGGTGGTTGTGAATCTCAGTGTGGGTCCTGAATACTAGGAACAAAGCCCAGGTCTTCTGCAAGAGCAATAAGTACTCTTAATTGCTGAGCATCTCTTTAGACCCATATATACCAATATTTTTTTAGGTGGCTATAGTGAATATAAATGTTGTATCATTTGAAACTAATTTCAGAAATTTAACTCAAGGTTTCCTAGGAAGCAATTGTTTTCTTCCTCTCCTTTTCCAAAAGGCTCTTGCTTTGAGCTCATTCACCTTCAACATTTTTGGAAAAAGGTGTCTACAAGAGTAGGGTTTGGTTTTTTCCCACTACAAAGTGAAAGATCTCACTATCTGCTTGATTGGCTATAGGCATGCTTAAGGAGGTCTGCTCTATCAGTAGTTGGACTGCTTATACCTTTGACATTGTGGCAATGAATAAGAAGGACTTGTGATTGTCCCTGATTCTGCATAAGCTCTCAGTCCAGGAGAGAGCTGTTTGTATTTTGCTCAAACTAAACCTGAGTTCTGGAGTCTCCACTCATTGTCAAGAAGCCATTGAAGAAAATGCATCTTTGGGAAGAACTACATAGATGATGGCTTATCTTTTTTCAAGTTCTTTGTGAGTCCAGTCTTCAGCCTTGGAGGGGTGGGGCCTGTTCCCCACCACCCAACATGTCCTCTGTTCAGCCTGAGAAGAGTTCAAAAACCTAAGTGGGCCCTTTGATGCCAAGTGGAGAAGCCAAGCAAATGGGGTGGAGCCTGGAAGCCTAATGACCTCATTCCTTCTGTGCAGGGCTCCCCAGGTTGGGAACCTTTCTGCCTGAACTTCCCTCCTCTGCAGGTGCTCTAGAAGTTTCCCAGACATCACCATGAAGGAAGTACAGCCCCATAGCATGAACATTAGTAATCTATCCTAGTGTGACTAGAGGACGAACATTTTGATGCCATAATTTCTTTCTTCATTGGTCTTGGACTTCCATGTACCACAATTTAAGCTTCAACAAAACTTGTTTAATTAATAACAATTTAAAAAAGAGATCCCTTGCCAGGGACAGATGTGGTGTAGTTGGTAAAGTGGCTACTGCATAAATGTGCAGACCTGACTTTGATACTCAGAACCCTCATATGAAAGCTGGTCAGAATGGTGCGTATCTGTGCTCTGAGCACTGAAGAGACAGAAATAGGATCATTAGGGCTCACTGGCCAGGCGGTCTAGCTGTCAGTGAGTTTCGGCTTCAGTGAGAGACTCTGTCTCAATAAGTTGGAGAGCAATTGAGGACGACACTGGATGTCAACCTCTGGTCTCTCCATGAATGTGCACACGTGAATGCACATGTACCTGCCTGCACATATGCATATACACACATGAACACATACACACATATACATGTACATGATCCTTTGTTACCCTGTGGTTCTAAATTATAGTAAGTTAAAAACTATTACATATCAATTGTCTGTTGTATATCAAAAATGTTGGTATGCACAGCCTCTTCCCATAAACCCATTGTTGAACTTTTCGTACGGATTCCTACAGATCACTTCTTTAGATTGATTGTCTCATATTTTCTTTGCCACGTGCCTTAGGGTGCACACTGATGGGTTACCAAGCCTTGTTTTGTTTCTTTGCCTCACAGGAGAGAATAATTGAACGCTTGAAAGAGCAGCGGGAGAGAGACGATCGGGAGAGATTAGAAGAGATAGAATCCTTTCGGAAAGAGAACAAAGAACTCAAAGAGAAGGTGAATGCTTTACAAGCGGAGCTGACCGAGAAAGAGGTGAGTCTGGAGAGGCAAATGACCCGCATCAGTGGTCTTCAGAAACCTGCCTTATTGAGGATGCCTTCATTGGAGGTCTTAGGGAGCGTACAGCTTAGGTGAAGACTTGGGGAAGGCTGCTTGGATTCCAAGGAGAACAGTTTCTGTGCCTCCCTTTATCAGAAATGCCTTCTGGATAGCTTTGCTGTTCTGCTCAGCGCATGGTGCAGATCCTTGAAATTCTTCTTTGTGCTTTCCCTTACCACACTTGGGTGGCTTAGAGAATGTATTTTAAAACCCATGATCCTTTGCTCAAACATCAGTGGAAAATGATAGTCATAATACTAGCTACACTCATAGGCAGTCTGTTGTTGATGATTTATTGGGTATTTCACATTCACTTGCAGCTCTGTCAAAGGGATTACTGGGTATGGTCAGGTGAGGAGACATGTCATGATACTGGACACAAAAGTGTAGAAGTGTAGGCTAGAGGTAGTTGATCTTCTGAGATATCATTTTCTGTTGCAGTGAATAAATAAAACTAGTTTTCATGCTATAGCAAAGATGAGTGGGTACAGAATATACGTACCACCTCTGTTTTTACAGTCAGTCAGTGTATTTGAAGGATGCTTCCTGCTTGAGGATTCTGGGGAGGATGTTTTGGGCTGTACTCCCCATGCTCCTGAGGATACCAATAACATGTTCACTTTCCTTGAGGGTACTTTGGTGGAGATGTGTGAGAAGCAATCATTGCCTTCACTTGTCCCTGTCAAACTGATTCCTGTCTGCCAGAAATGTCTGTCCCCTACAGGACTTCTCAGGTCCCTTTCCATGCTAGATCATCCCTCTTTGCTGTTCTTTCCTCTCAGCTCACCAGGGTTGCCTCGTCCCTTGTAAGCTGACCATTCTGTACAAGCTAAAATCCTGCCTAGATTGGGAATTGAGCTTTGATACATAAGAGGAGTTTTGAAGAAACCCAGAGGAAAATCTCATATCCCTAAGATTTATGCTCACTAGAGTTTTAGGGAGGGAACTATTTCTTTGACATAATGAGATTTAATCCAACATTGTGTTGCCCATTGACTTGATGAACCTGTCATTCACATGTGACAGACATTCACTCGCTTTGCCCTCATCTGTAATGGTCTTCACTAAGTTTAGAGGTACCATTTGTGTGTTTGTATCTTGAAATCAATGTGTATACTTCTGATTGAAAAGAGACTTTGGTAACATGCCAAAGCAAAAGCTTCAAATGAGAATAGTTTTGTAAACAATGCCAACAGTGAGTGAACCTCAAATAAGCTTTTCCAGAAACATTTCCGGTCTTGTAGAATGCTCTTGGCGTTGTCATTCAGGGCTTTCCCTAGATTAAGAAATCAAACCTGGCGTGGTGGTGCATGCCTTTGTCCTAGCATTCTGGAACTAGAGATAGTCATCCAACTAGATTAAGAAATTCATTGCAAGGAATGGTTTATGTGGTAATAGAGGCTGGACAAGTCCAACATGCATAGGGACGCTTTCAGGGAAGCAGGCTGGAAACTCTGACAGAGATCGTTGCTGACAGATGGGAGTGGGGAATAGGTGTTTCTTCTCCCAAGAGTTTTTCTCCTAAGACCTTTCAAAGGCCAGCAGCAGGCCCACCCGGAGTACAGAGGATAATCTCCCTAAAGGCAGCTGATTATAGATGCTAGTCATGTCTGAAAAATCCCTTCACAACACCTAGATTAATAACTAGGGACTACAGTGTAACCAAAATAAATCACAACCCACAATTTACAATTTAGAAAAGAACAACAACACAGAATTGCAGTTTTCAGGAAACTTACAATTTAGTTGGGGTGATGATATATCTTCACTGTGACAAAATGACTGGATTATAATGACCTTCATTATTTCTGTGGATGTGAATTCAGAGTTGAAGACCCGAGTTTGAGACTTGGATATGCCCTTAGTGTCTAGGTGACCTTAGACAAGACTCATACTCAGCTCACACTTAGCTATTGTGGGCTTCAGTTTGCTGACCTGAAAAATGAGCATGACTCACCTGTCCTTCAAAGGGTACATAGGAGCATCCTGCTGGGTGTTGATGACCTTTGTCATTAAGGCCACTCAGTGCCCATGAGTCAGCCCAAAGTGTTAGGATCATCAATTACTGAGATAACCTGTGTGCTTACTACATTTTTTGGTGTCACAAGTGTCCGTAGAAAAGAAATACACAGGGCATGATTTTAGGTGAATCTGGTACCTTTGGGTCACATCATTAGATGTGGCTAGCCACTGCACATTTGCTAATGAACATTACCTCTAGAATTAGTAAAATTGTGTTCAAAGATATGCATAAGAATTTATTTCTCTGATTTTTGGAATTCAGATTATATAGGGAAGCTCTTAGTTTCTGGACATGGTTAATGACTGAACAATATTGATGGCTTAGTATATGAGAATTGTTGAAGATGGATCACAAAAGACTAGAATTTAAAGTCTACTTGACCCTAAAATTTCAAAAACCTTTATGTTTGATTTACCTGAAGATATTTGAAAAGTAGTCATTTCTTTTCTGTTAAAGAAAATGAATTTGATACAACTTAATAACATGTTTCTTTGGGATTTGCCCTTGGGAAGGAAGCATTTTTTGAAAGGAAGTATTTTCTTTTCATATTAGTGTCCAAGTCTTTATAGCCTGATCTCAGTATATATAAAAGGAGTTTCGGGTGTCTGTTTTGCTGTGACACTTAAAGACCACCTTGGGACTTACATCATCAGCATGACTTTGAGATGTGAAAAGTGCATTTACTGACCACACCATTTGGTCGCATTTGATTCTACTGCAATTAGATCCTGTTCTGTCTTGTAAGCTGGCCAACTTTAATTTCCTGGCCAGAGCTGACTATTGTTACCTTAGTAAGACTATATTTACCCTTTCTGTCTAACGTATACTTTATTGCTATGTATAGAACCAATGAATTCAGATTGAAGACTTTGCTGGGAGAAACTGTGGTGTTTTCCTTACCACCATTATTTCTCTTTCAGTCTAGTTTAATTGACCTCAAAGAACATGCATCTTCATTAGCCTCTGCAGGACTGAAAAGGGACTCCAAATTAAAATCTCTAGAAATAGCCATTGAACAGAAGAAAGAGGAATGCAGCAAATTGGAGGCACAGTTAAAAAAGGTAAGTGAAGTCTAGGGAAAAACATGCTCATTTCAGAATGAATTTATAAAATGGGAAAGGAAGAGACATTCTCAGAAGAAACAAGGTCCTTATCTTCTGCTGTCTGCTGATAAAAGAATTAATTAAACACTCAACTTGATTCCTAAGAAGTCTGCATCAAATCTGTCTGTAAACCTGAATAATTATCTTAGGTTTCCTGTCTAAAGAAAACTTGAAAAGAGAAAATAGTAACAGAAATGGAAATTATAAAACCAGCCATTAGTCCCGAAGCAAATCTCAACTATCTGAAAAGATTAATGAGAATGTTTGCAAGAGAGTAAAAATCTAGGGGCCTGGTTATACTTTGATAAACTTTTACAATTTTCAGAAGTAGGTCAGTTTTCTCCTCTTCTGGCAACATTCAGTTTCTAGCAGTTCAAGTCCCTAGTGCATCTGTAGAATGAGAATTCGTATTGGATTAATAACGGCCTTGCTGTCTAAGCAGCTTGTCACATCTAGAGGTCTTTGGAGGGCCTTCCATTGTGGCGTTCACACGTTTTCTCTGATCTGGACATTTCTGTGGCGTGCATTCCAAGTCACGCATTGTTTCTTTGACTTTTCCCTATGTCGTTTGCTTTGTCTGCACCCGTTGTTCATATAAAATGCATAACATTATGAATTTGAGCATTTTGTTCCCCTTGACAACTTATAAACACAGTCCAAAGAGATAAGAAGCCAAACGTTCCAATGAAGCATAAAATAAGATTTGACTATCTCTGATTCCTGGCCCATTAGCATGGGAAATTGTTAGCTATAGTTAAGAACACAGATAACATGGATAACCAGGGATGTAAATAAAGCATATATCTATAGAGGAAATATTTTGAATGCTTAAAAAAATTAATGTGCTATTTTGTACAATGCAGTATACAATTAAAATGTAACTATGTTGTGCTCACTACACAGGGAGTTTTCATACTGAGAAAATCTACTTATTAATACATAGAAAGATAAATATACAGGGGCTGGGGAGATGCCTCAGTAGGTTAAATGCTTGTTGTGCAAGCATTATGACCTGAGAATCTATCCCTAGTACACATTAACAAATGTCGGGTGATATACACCTGTGATCGGGGTGCTGGGAGCGAGAGGCAGCATGATCTCAGGTTTTGGGGCTAGTTAGTTGGTGAGCTCTAGGTTCATTAAGAAACCCCTTTATCAATAATAATAATAAAATAATAATAATAAAAAATGTAGACTTGAATGGCCTGGAACTCACTATGTAGACTAGGCTGGCCTTAAACTCACAGAGATCCACCTGCATCTACCACTGAGTGCTGAGATCAAAGGCATGTACATCTCTCTCTCTCTCTCTCTCTCTCTCTCTCTCTTTCTCTAATATATGCATACAAAGAAAGATAAGTATACATATCAAATCTCAGCATAACAAAATGACAAGAAAACTCTATATTGAAAAATCATCTCCCTTATGTCATGCAATATTTAGTGAAGTATAAATCTGTAACAGTGAACGGAAGAGCTTGAACTGCTCATTTAAGAACATTTAGATGGAGACTATCTGTTTTGGGGGTATGAAATACGTTCTTGGCACATGTATGGTGTGCTCTATGACACACTATACTTTTTACTTAATAAAACAGTTTTTGTGATCATGAGGCATGCTCAAAGATGATAACTTAATAAAAAAGAGAAATGGCCTTCTGCGTGACCTTATCTCGGTTTCAGTGTGCTGGGTGTGGGAGGAGGACCTCAAACATACCCTCGGCCTGAAAGACACCCTCCATCAACTCTGTTGAGCTGTCATGGAGATCAGGGTGCCCCACTCATGATTTCTGCAGTTACATGCTCAACACCGCCTTTTCAATGGAATCTGAAGTCCTCTGGTAGTGAAAAGGAAGAGGCTACCATGTTGATGCTGTGGTCTCCATGTTCTTCACTTGACTCATTTACTGACTCAGGATCTGTGCACTTCGGTGTAATCTGCTTCAGCACAGCTGTGGTTGCTCGGCAGACCACTCCCAGCATGCCATTTCCTTAGACTCTCAGTCAACACCATTACTAAAATTCACAGATCAGGTCTTGTAAACATTTTAACATGACCTCTGATAGCATTTTAGTATTCCACAATATCACCAACACCGGTGATCCATACTGTTGTTTCATTATAAAGGAATCATTTAATTCATGAAAAATAATGTATTTCTAAGTATTTCCATAATCTTTACTTAAACCATCTTCTAAATACATAGTACAGTGTGCTTAAAAAGGTAATGATAATTTAAATATTTTATGCCTAACTTGCAGATGCTATGCTGTTGTTTTTGGCTCCCTAGCATTAACCAAATTCAGAACTTTAAAGTATTTTTTCAGTAGTCTCTAATTTCTGCTAATAAATAGTTCCATAAAACCTCAGGTACCCATCACCTTAGAAAGAATTGGGATCTACACGAATATTTGAAAACACAAGCCAACATTATGTGAGCATACATATGAACACATCATTTACTCAAGGAAAAATAAGCAACTATAAAAGCTTAAGGAGTTGTTGGGACTCCTTTTAAATAAAAAAGTGCATGATTTGTGAATAAAATATAAAGGTTTACTAGATAAAAACTAAAAATATAATGATTTTTATCATAAATACACTATGGATTTCCAGTGGAATTTTGCTTAAGATGTGACTGTCCAGGTATTTTTGCCCATAAAAGCCATGCAGGATCATAGATGTGTTTAGTTGAATAGAAACTTTTCCAGTGAC